TAGACAGAGATCATAAAATGTCTAACACCAACACAAGAGTTAAATAAAAACCTCAGGAACTCTTTTTAAAAGCCTACAGATATACTACCAAAGAATGGTTTAACTTCCTTAAACTTCCTGCTTAACAAGTTTACACTTTTCAGTAATATACTATATTAATAAACTCACATAATATTTAATACCAAAACTGCTAAAATTTTCCACTGTGGTTAACTATTTCTATAGGAAGTAATGCTTATAGAATAGCCAAAATTGTAATAAACCGAGTTATTTTAATAACTGGAAAAAAACAATGGGAAGGCCAAATATTATGGGCATGCCATACGTGCATCTTTGCCAGGAAGCTACAGTAAAGTTTGGATGAAATAGGGAATATATTTGCCTATCAGTCCCTCCTGAGAACAGGTCATTGGTCCCAGTAAATGTGGCCACTGCCAACGCAGGAAAATTTAAGATATTTAATCTCCTACACAAAGAAGTCCACTCTCTTGCTCACTTGTGTTCTTGTTGCAAGGGGTGTGCTCTCCTGGCTCCCCTGAATATGCTGTGAGCCATGTGAACCCCACACAATGGACTGAGGGACTGCAATTAGCCTAATGCTATACTGGACCCAACTCCATCACAGGAAGGAAACTTTGGATGCTGGCTTTGCTTTTAGCTCTGCTGAATCCCCAGCTACACGTTTTCCAGGACTGGATGAAAGGACACTGGACTTTGGAAACCCAAGGATGTAATTCCATTCAGATAAAAATCACTCATCCTCCCATGTGAGTCTCAGAAAAGTCTTTCTCTCAAGATATTGTAAATACTTCAACTCCCACCAGCAATGGAGAAAGACCACCCACATGGTCTTTATTCTCTGATATCAGCAGGCATGTCAGCACATCCTAACTGCAGAGGGCCTTTCACCTTGCCCTTTTGCTCTTGATAGAGTCTCTGCCTGCACCTAATTGAAGGATATGACCAGGCATCTCAGAGGTTATTAATCGATTAACTAAATTGATTAAACTTCACGACAGCTTTGTCACCACTGAAAAAAAACCTTTTTGAAAAAATTAGTTTGAATCTTTGTACCTGAACATGTTGGTTGAATAATCTTCATTTTCTCATCAATGATTTTGTCATCTTTTGAATGCAGTCAGAAGATAAATGCTACCCATTTTTTTTGTTTGTTTCTATTTTTCCTTATCTCTCTGTCAGGATATGGATATAAATGTCTAAAAAATAAATGTACAAAAGGGAGCTGGTTGGAAATGCTTAATTTTTATAAGGTAAGCGCATACTTTTCTTGCATCAGATCTTTCAATTATGGTAAAACATTTTTCAGTACTTCCTAGGAGTTAGTGGTTTGTTTGCTGATGATTAGTTAAGGCAACACTAAATCTGTTACTACAGGTAACCCCCAAAGTTCAGCAGCTTAATCCGATGAGAGTTTATTTTTCATTCACATCAAGTTAATCATTGCTGAGGGTCCCAGGCTGATGGAGGCTCCACCATTGGCCAGGTGAGGAAGGAGAGAGAGCCAGGAAAATTGGATGGGCAGCTTTCATGAAACCTGTCTGCAGAGTCTACCTTAGTCTACCTTCTACCGACCAAAACTTAGGCCTATAGCCTCATAGAGATGTAAAAAGTGGGGAGGTGCCCTTTGTCCAATCAGCCTTTTCCCCAAAAGTGTACATGATGGAAGGAGAGTACAAATTTTTTGTTGATAGAAGAATGGTTAGCCACCTATGCTACAAGGGCTAAATCCTGAGAAATTATATTTTAAAAAGAATGACTGCTGACCACGTTTTATAAATAAAATTTTTAAGAAGCTTACCTAATGTGATTAATTTTAATACAACAAATAAAATCAATATCTATTGATTGAACACGTACTATGTGCAAGTCTTTTGATGACTCCCATGGCAAAGCTGGTGGGGATACCAAGGTGAATGAAACATGGTCTGTCACACCAGGACAGGAAAGAAAATGAACTTTTGTGTATAGTAAATAAAACAAAATTTTTCATCTAGAAAAAAACTGTTTGCAAAGAGAATATCTGTTTTATATTCTCATTAAATATTCTCACTGTAGGAAAATTTAGAAACTACAAAAAGAGCAAAAAAAAACAAAACAAACACCACCAACAAACCACCTTTACATGCCTCTAGTAATCCTATCACACAGAAGTAATTGCTGTGAACATGTTTCCTATTGATATTATATCTATATATGCATATTTGAAATTGTATTTCACATAGATGAATTTCAAAGCACTCAAGTTAAAAACATCAAGTTAAAAAGTTGACCTGTTGACCTGTATTCACGTGCTGTGGTCATGAAGAAATTCAAGAGGGGATGCCAAAATAAACTGTTTTCTTTGCTGGTGTCTGGGACAACAGATTCATTGATTCAACATTAAGAGGGAGCTTGAGTAGGAGGAGGAACATTTACACACACTGACCTTTAAGCATCTCACAAATAAATGAAAACGTGTTGCTATAAAAACAACCACTATGAAAATGCATTGAAATCCCCTACATGTATTCAGTATACATGTAAGGACCATCCGAACAGGATCTGGGAGAAATGACTGAAGGGGCTGAGGTGTTCGGTGAACTTTTCTAGCATAATAATAGCTGTCCAAAGTGGAGAGCTCTCCATCACTAGAGGTGTTGGGGGAAAACCTGGAATGGCAGAGGGGATCTAAGCATTGCATAGTTGATTGATAGATGCTCCAAGTTCTTTCCCACCCACAGTGCATAAATACTACCACCCATGTGGCCACACACATGATCCCAGCAGGAGTGGCTCTGGAGCAGACGTTGTCTGAGCTGGTTGGGATTATACATCCTGTGATAAAACTGGCCTAATCAGAAGATCTTCCAGTGAGCCAGCAGGCCAGAAACGGGGCTTTCCTAGCTCCGGGCCAGTAAGGAGTAAAAGCATCATCGTTGGCTCTCCCGAGGCACTGCTCACATGGGAGCAGGAGTGGAGGGGAAGATGCAAAGTGGAAGCAGCACAGGTGGGTAGATCTCCAAAGAATTACAAAGCAGGGGCTAAAAAAAACAACAACTCACAAAGCTTCCCTCCCACCTTCTAAGTTCTTCTAGGTGAGCTAATAATCCCATTAACAGAGATAGATTAACAAGAGAAAATAAAAGCGTTGATACATGCGAGGAATTAAAATAAGTATGAAAATACCAAAGGCAATGAAGGAACAGTGGGCATATATGACATTTTGGACAAAGGAAAAGGTTGGAGGTTGAGGGGAGTGGTGGGGAGAAGCGGATAGGGGTCCAAGATTTCAAAAGTGAGAATGGCGATTTATAGGGAGTTAAAGAAGAGGGAACACAGGTGGTATGCAAGCCCCCCGAAGCAACTCAGAAACTGGGACACATGGGTGTCTGGCTAGCAGAAGCACTTCCACTTAGCTCGCTTAATGCACATTAGGCTAAAGCAACAGACATCCAGGGTTCTAAGGTTCTCTTCCTGGAGCAGGTGTTTCTCTCTCAGTCTCTCGGGCATGAAAGGAGGAGAGTCAGAGGTTCCTTTCTGAGTCTTTGTTTCTTAATAACCAGTTAAAGGCCAGTATCCCAAAAGGCAGCTTCCGGGTCAGGAAGGTGATGAAAACACAGGTGCCTCTTCAGGGGCCTCAACAGTAACCCCGATACTTTCCCCTGTGGGACCATCAACTCCTTATTTCTGTGTTTGGCAGCCAACCTTCTCTTCCCAAACCCTCTCTTGGTCTGTGTCAGCAAAATGGTACCCATTCATCTGGGTTCTCTCCAATTTGGGTCTTGGAGACCGACTGGCCTGGTATGGAGGGAATGTTACAAAAGGGTATTTCGTAGTCAGATCACTAATTCTCATTCAGCCAGAAGCCGAATGAATCTTGGGGCTATATTGATCAGATTACAGGAACCTGTTGAGTCTGAACGGAAAGAGGAAAATAAGACGGGTAAACTGTGCCATCACGCAGACAAAAATAGCGTAACAGGTCACACCGTTGTCACTTAATTGACCGTTAGAGTGTGTCATGGGGCTTACCTCCCCCCTCTTGTCCACCCCTCAGACAACTGCTTTAGCTGCTTTGGAAACATAACAAAGTCCTACTGTGGCTTCGACATAAAACCATCTCATCAACAATCGGTAGGTGTGTTTCACAGCGGTTAGAGCAAAAGCGCCACAAAGTAGGCGACCACCGAGGTTGCAGAAATATTTCCTGTCCTGACCAGGGTTGCGTTTCTGGAGAATATTTAACAGGGAAGGGTTTTAATGCTTCTAAACGATGTTGAAACGAAAGAACAAATATTGACCCACATGGCACCACCGGTCTCCTGAAAGGGAGTAAAATACATCCTTTATAAAATGAAAAGAAAAAAAAAAACAAAAAACGGCTTGGCTAAAATCTTTCCCCAAGCCCTTCACAATTGGCTCTAAGAGGGCGGAGGGGCCCGGTTGGCACAGCCAGGCCGGCCAGCATCCCCGCAGGTCCCCTCGCCGGGAGGCCGGGCGTTCCCGCCAGGCCGCCTGGGCCCCGGCCAGAGCCCCGGCCGCCGCTGGCACGGGCGCGCGGTGAGTGGCCAGCCGGCTCCGGAGAGCGTGGGCCGCGTCCAGGCCACCCTGCGCGGCGCCCCACCGAGCGCAGGGGATTGGGGGGTGCGGGGAGGCTCGGGCCAAAGGGACCCCCCCAGCGCGGGCGCCGGTGAGTCAGGGCGCCGGTAGGTTGTGCAAGTGCTGGCCCCGCGCCGCCCCCTCCCCGCCGCGCGGTTGCGACAGCGCGACCCCCTCCCCCCGGCGCTATAAAGCGGCCGGCGGCCCCGCGGCGCGCTCGCTTCCCGGCTCCCTGCGCGCCCGGACTCCCTCCCGGCCAGGTCTGCGCGGCTCCGGCGGTGAGCAGCGCCCGGGGGTGGGGGGTGAGGGGACCGGCGCGGGAGAGGGCGGTGCAGGCGGGCGGGGCGGCTCCGGGTCCAGCGCTCACGGCGCACGTCCCCCGCAGGGCGATCCTGGGCGCGATGGAGAGGGTGTGGGCGCTTGTGCTGCTGGCCGCGCTGGGCAGCGCCCGGGCGGAGCGCGACTGCCGGGTGAGCAGCTTCCAAGTGAAGGAGAACTTCGACAAGGCGCGGGTAGGTGCCGGCCCGGTGGCCCCGAACCCCCGTCCCTCCCCTCCAGTCCCGCGGCCAGCCTCACGGGCCTCTCTCGTCGCCAACCCCGCGCGCATCCCCTTTGCAGTTCGCCGGGACCTGGTATGCCATGGCCAAGAAGGACCCCGAAGGCCTCTTCCTGCAGGACAACATCATCGCCGAGTTCTCCGTGGACGAGAACGGCCAGATGAGCGCCACAGCCAAGGGCAGAGTCCGCCTGTTTAAGTCAGTGGGCTCTGGGATGGCAGAGCTCCCTGCGCCCCAGGGTCCCCGGGGCTGGGCGCCAGGCCCTGAGGGGAGGGGAGGGAGCACCCTGGGGTGGTGGGATGGAAGGAGGGAGGGATGGAGGGAGGGAGGAAGCCTTCCTTCTGCCCAGCCTGGCTCAGGAACCCCTTGGCCTTTGCAGTAACTGGGACGTGTGCGCAGACATGGTGGGCACCTTCACAGACACTGAGGACCCTGCCAAGTTCAAGATGAAGTACTGGGGTGTAGCGTCCTTTCTCCAGAGAGGAAGTGAGTAATCAGCTCCGTGGGACTGTCTTGGGGGGTAAGAGGGACACAACCTGACCACATCTCTGGGTGTCTTCTCCAGTGGCACCCTTAGGGAAAACGTGGTCTCTGAGTGGCAGGAACTCTGGGCACCGCCTGAGGTTAGGGGCCTGAGGTTGACCCACCTTCCCCATGCCCCCAGCTCATAAAACCTGGCCCAAGTTCAAAGGATCTTTGGGCTTGGGAGGCCTCCTCCTGATATTTTCCTGTCCAGCCGCTATTCCAGGGTGTGCAGCCTTCTCCAAGCTTACCCCTTCCTTTCCACCCCAAGACCCAGCCCACATCACCACTCAGCCTGGCTCTGCATTTCCTCTATCTCTTTGGGCTGAATCCCTGGGGCAGCAGAGGCTGGGAAACCCCCACCCAAGGATGCAGAGAGCATGGTGCATAGGGTTGGCCCACTGCCCGCCCGGTGCCCTGTCTAATGATGCAGAGATTCTGAGCCAGGCACAGCACACTTGGTGGCAAGGCCCTCTTCCCTTTCTCCCAAACACCAAAACTCAGATGGAGGAGGGAGAGCATTGAGGACACTCAGAAGAGCATCTTAAACTTGGCCCAATCATGAGAACAAAACATCTGTAAGCTCTTTCTAACCCCTTCCCCCCTGCCCCCCCCCCCCCCCCCCGCCCCCTGTTTCTCCTAAATTTCAAATCTGAAGTCTATTTGGTACTTAGGGGATTGTGCATGTCGGGGGGGGGGGGGGGGAGGATCATGGGATCTTTGAGATAGTTAACCCTACAAAGGTTTCAAGAAACAGATGAATAAACTGAGGCCAAGAGAACGTAGTGCTTCGCTCAGGGTCATACACATTTGTGCGAGACAGTGTCAGAACCAAGTTCCAACTCCTGAGCCAGGATTAGGTGGCCCTGAACAGCAGGGGCTCCTAATTTACAGACCAGTTTTTAGAAAGTCTGAGTCTCTCCTGTGGGATGGGCCACAGGAGGCTGTTCAGGGGACTCTTAGCTGGTGGTCCAGGGCAGAAGCTTTCTTTACGTGGCCCATCACTCTATACACGGCACATGCACCTTGACTTCCTCTAAAGTTGCAGATTAGGTGAAATCGCATGTTTTATCTAATTGCAGCGTCAGCACTGATTGACACTGTCCAGATAGCATTGTTATTTTACAAGGGGTAAAAAGCTCTTATCCTTAGAAGTAACCATAATTGTTACAAACAATGAAGCAAAGCTTTCCAAGGTGAATCTCATAGCACGAAATATGTACTTTTCTGATAACGCATTACAGAAGTCAGTACTGGGGGTACAAGATGGCTTTCTAAAGAGCATAAGCACGTAATTCTCTGTGGGATTTCGAGATGCACTCTTTGGAGGACTACGGTCCTGTTGGTACTGCATTTGGGCAGGATAGAGAAGACCCCATGAGCAGGTAGGGTTTTTCCTCTTGCCTCCTCCTCTCCCTTGAGAACTAACCAGGTTAGTTCTGCCTTTACCACTTGTAGATTGAAGTTCTATCTATGATTTCATTTAGAGAAAAAGTATTAAATCTTGAAAGTGATTGCTATGATATTGAAGTAACTGTGGAAGGTGTAAGGATGAATTCCTTAGGGATGTTTCAGAAAAGAAGCAGTGCAGTGTAGTGGCTTTGCACGCAGCTAACGTTAGATTGCTTGAGTTCACATCCTACTTTGTGGGACCTTAGAAACGTTCCTGATCTTCTCTGTGCCTCAGTTTCCTCACCTGTACTAGGAGCACCTGCCTCCTGGAGTTGCATTATGGGGAGGCCATGAGTTAACTGTGCAGAAAGCACTTAGAACAGTGCCTGTGACATCGGTTCTCTCTCCGTGTATGTTGTTATTACTGCTTAGCTCTCTCCCCAGTCACGAAAGAATAGCTTGATAGTCTGGGTCAGGGATGATAGGATCCACAAAGAGCATCAGGTTCATGACTCTCATTTTCCAACGAACACATTAGAGAAAGCCCACGTTAGAGAGGTGACTGGCCTAGGGCACACAGCCAATCCCCGGGTCCCCAGGCCTCAGACTCCTCTTTGACAAGGCCTGCTGGGCTCCTCAGGTGATTAGTCAGGACTAGCTTCACACCACCGTCCGCTGGCTCACCTGGATGGTTCGACCTGAGAACTGCAGGGAGCTTCTCATCGCTTTAGGAGATTGCAGGACACAGGCGTAGGGAGCCGGAGGGACACATTCCAGGCCCACCACAGGAAGCCAGAGTTGGCTCCCTCTAACTGAGGGGTTTTTTTTGTTTTGGATTTTGGACTGGTAATCAAAACCTCTGAACTAGTCCGTGTAGCCCCACTTCCTGGGGTGGTAGCAGCCATATGGCCACTGTCTCTACTCTCCCTGGCTCTGCTATGTGTGGATAGCTGCCATCCAGAACTGTCTGGCTCTTGAGGGACCCACCCGAGCAGCTGGCAGTGAGGAGGTGGGAGGTCTGAGCTCACTCTTTCTAGCAGGGCTCAGACCCACTCATCTCTTGTTTTAGGAGGAAGAGTCCAGAAAGGATTGTTAGAGTTTACATTCTTCATCTCTGCACTATTTAGCAAAAAAAAGAACCTAGCCAGGCGAGGCCTTTTATAAAAGTCAAGAAGGCAGTTGCTTTTCCAAAAAGCTACTTAGTTCCTGTTAGAATCCACATTCTGGCAGCAACTCTGGGGGAAAATTAAGCTGCAGATTTGCTGAGCTAATAGCTGCTTGGATCATGAATCCGGGTCCTATTTCAAAGCACAGGACTTTTGTGTCTGAGGGGCAGGCTGCTGGGGGGCCTGTGACTGAGAGACAGTGAGGCCCATAGCCAGGGAAGAAATGATTTCATTCGGAGAGAAGGCAGACTGCCCAGAGCCGTGAGGGGAGCTGGTGGTGAGGGTGGGGCCCGGCAGGCGGCCCCTTGGCTTCTGTTCCTGGCCCACCTGCTGGACCATGTGTCTGCACACCCCTCCTGGCCCCTGACACTCACTGCGTGGTTAAGTTTGGAAGGTGTGGGGGAGGCTCCCTCTTCCTGGGGGACCTGGAGTGAGCTGAAACGGGGCCTCCTCCACCCCCTGCTGTGCAGCCTCCTGCAGGGCCGGGTTGGGGCTGAACTCCTGCTGGCTGGCATTCTCAGAGCTAAGAGGCCCCGCGGGAGGTGACTGAGGTCAGGGTTAGCCATCTCCCTCCACCCTCTAATGCTGGGCAATCCAGTACCAGCCTCCAGTGTGGCACAGGACACGAGGCAGAGAGGATCACCAGTTTCATGACCCTGACATGAGATGGAGATGCAGAGCCTTGATGATTCTTGTTTCCTCTGCCCCCAATTTACTTGTTGTCTGGAGACAACACGATGTAGCGTTTTCCCAACTGGGCCCCAGAGTCCGATTGAAATCCCGGTTCTGCCCTGCTCTTTGAGATATCCGGTGAATTATTTCGTTTCTCTGGGCCTCACTTTCCCCATCTATCAAATGGGGGCGATTGTGTGCACTTTTTGGTTCATGTAAAAAGTAACTGGGGGAAAAGGGAAAGTGTCTGCACAATGACCAGCATGATTAAGTGCCCAGAAAGCCCTATTCATGGCTGTGTCAATGAGAATGTTAAATTAAGTAGAGATGTGCCCCCCCCCTTTAAAAAAAAACACATATATATAAGGTATTTGGATAAACTTGAGTATTGTTTCTCTGTGGCAGATTCTTCACATACATTCTTATTTCCCATCCTGCCTTTGTTGGCTTCCCCTTATTCGTGGCTTACATCCCAGTCTTAGGAATAAATACCTAAATTTTTCATTGACTTAACTCTCCCTCTATCAGAGGAGTTCTGACAAGTACAAGCTCTGAAAAGAATATCTGATAATAGATGGCAGGCATCATTCCCCCCCACACCCCAGCAACCCCCAAAGCAAACACTACTCTCTTGCCTGCCAGGAAATGTAGGCAGGGTTACTAGACAGGACTTAGGAGGGAGCCAGAAAAGCCATCCAAGTGGCCTCCAGTGATGGAGAGGCAGGAGGGCATGGTGGTTCTGGAATGACTGGGAGCTAGCTGACAGAGACCATCTCAAGAGATATGTCCTGATGTTGAGATATCATATGTTGGTGGCCATCAGACATCAGCCCTAAGGCATAGCTGTTGTCGGGGGATTGATGGAGAAGACACAGTAGGGAGATCTATTCCATGGTTTGGATAGGCCCACGTTCTCAGTTGTTCTTTAAAAGATGCCATCACATTCATCATCAGGGTGAGAGGCAATCATTGAAGTGAATGAGGTTCCCCCAACTCAAACGTTTTATCTGTAAAGGAGAACAACATCCTTCTCACTTCCCGAGCTTTATAAAAGCTGTCGGAATTCTCCGGGGTCTCCTGCCCCTAACAGAATGGAACCTGTTTCAGGAAGTCGCTGGCTTCTCGGTTTGGGTTAGTTTCCTTGCGGGCTGCGCCGGCTGAGGGCGAGGCATTGGCTCTGGTTTCTGGCTTGCAGACGACGACCATTGGATCATCGACACGGACTACGACACCTATGCCTTGCAGTACTCCTGCCGCCTCCTGAACCTGGACGGCACCTGCGCTGACAGCTACTCCTTCGTGTTTGCCCGCAACCCTTACGGCCTGCCCCCGGAAGTGCAGAGGATCGTGAGGCGGAGGCAGGAGGAGCTGTGCCTGGGCAGGCAGTACAGGCTGATTATACACAACGGTCAGTGGGCTGGTGGACAGGAGCCAGGCAGCAACCAGCTCTCCCTGAGGGCTCGGTGGGCAGGGGTTTGGGCCCACCTGCCAGTGAGATGTTTCATCCTAAGGCTTCACAAGGAAACAGGGAGACCAAGTCTTGGTTCTTATTCTTCTTTAAAAAAAAAAAAAAATTTTATTGCTTTCAGAGAGGAAGGGAGAGGGAGAGAGAGACAGAAACATCAATGATGAGAGAGGACCACTGATTGGATGCCTCCTGCACGCCCCCTACTGGGGAATCGAGCCTGCAACCTGGGGCATGTGTCCTTGACTGGAATCGAACCCAGGACCCTTCAGTCCGAGGGTGATGCTCTATCCTCTGAGCCAAGCTGATCAGGGCAGTCTTAGTTCTTCTTGATCAGGTGTTTCAGTGGCCTCATCGTGGGGCTGATTCGGAAGGAGCCCACAAATGCCTTTTCTCAAAAACCTGGCACTTTCACTTAAGTAAAACTGCAGGGGACTCTCTTCCTTTTTCTCTGCCAGTTTAGCCCAGTCGGTAGTCACATGGTTTTGCCCCTGGATACTCTGCCCCAGAACCCATTTTGACTGAATTAATAGTATTTGGGGATTCGGTGGCCACGTGAAGAGTTGGGCTGCAATGTGGCCATCGGTGTAAAAGCTTAGAGACATCACCAGAGCAAGTTCAACATGATTTCAGCAAATGCTCTTTCTCTAACACGAAACCAAATTGACTAGCTGATCTTCCTCCCTTGTAGTTTCGGATGTTCCCTGGAATAACAAGTGGGTCTTTATATAGATTCTATTCTCATCTGATATTGACCTGAAAACCAGGAACATTCTGGTCGGCAAACTCATTAGTCAACAGGGCCAAATATCAACAGTACAACGATTGCAATTTCTTTTGAGAGCCAACGTTTTTAAACTGAAACTTCTTTTAACGCCACTTCTTCAAAATAGACTTGCCGGAGGCATGGTGGTATTTTGTGGAAGAGCCACACTAAAGGGGTCAAAGAGCAACATGTGGCTCGCAAGCTGCAGTTTGCCGACCAACGTTCTAGAGGAAAGAGCGCTGTCTACTTAATGGACACTCAGTCCCTCGGGAAACTGGGTTTCAAAATCCAACTACGGCAATGTTAAAACGTAGGAAACAGAACAAAACTGAACTTTTCAGTCAGTCTTCTAACTCGCTGAGCAAAACTCACCAAAACAATATGAACCCGGACCAAAAACATAAGTCAGTAAGATTTTGATGTCTCACCCTGGGGTGGTCCTCGGCAAGGATTTCACCATAGGCAAACTCCAGGCCAAACCCTTTGCCTACATCTCATGTAGCCGATGAGAAAATGAGAGGCTAAGAAAGATTATAAAAGTTGCCCAAGATTTGTTGAGTACGTAGTGAGATGGATGCAAACCAAAGGTTGTGTTTTTGTTTTGTTTTGGCACTGAAGCCCCTTGGGGCACCACCTGGCAATACATGGCACAGGCGGGTGCACCCCCCAACCCTTTGAAATGCAGTGAGGCAGATTTAAGACAAATAAAAAGAACAGTATTTTAGCCCTAGTCGGTTTGGCTCAATGGATAGAACTGAAGGGTCCCAGGTTTGATTCTAGTCAAGGGCACATGCCTGGGCTGTGGGCTTGATCTCTAGTAGGGGGCGTGCAGGAGGCAGCCAATCAATTATTTTCTCTCATCACTGATGTCTGTCTGTCTGTCTGTCTCTCTCTCTCTCTCTCTCTGAAATCAATAAATATATATTTTTTAAAAGAACAGTATTTCATACAGAAGATCCCATTGCTCCCAGAGAAATTCAAAGGGTTGCAGAAAAAGCCTGGAAGATGAATATGAATTACAGCCCCATCTTGCTGTAACCTCACAAGAATGGGTCCATAATTCATAATCTGCCTTATACACTGGATCCATCTTTCTGTCACTGATGGCTTTGTTTTTCTATATTTCAGGTTACTGTGATGGCAAATCAGAAAGAAACCTTTTGTAGCAACATCAAGGATGTCAAGTTTCGTTTGAAAACTTCCCACTTTCACTCAGCCTTCAACTCTATTTATCGTAGTTTAGTCTGGCCCTCTCTCCTCCTCACTTCCTCAGGAAACATAGAACCTTCAGGACACATAAAAATACATGTGGGAATGAGTGAATCCATTTGCAATCAGATGTATGTTTTTTTGGGGGGGGATTTTCTAGGGAGTCATTTGAGGCTTAGGATTCTAGACTGAATTATTAAAACAGTCTCCCGTTTCCTATGATGTGGGTGTTCGTTTGTGTCCACGTGTTGTCGAAGTGAGAAGTCTTGCAAATGGTTGGATAGGATGCGCTTCTATACCCCAAGAGGTGTTCTCACCTCCCTGGTTCTTTATGATCTTGGCCTATTCTGGTGCCTAATCTCTATTAGGGACAGTGGCTTCTCCCAACTTCCTGCAACGGATGTTCTCCATGAAGCTGGGAAGGCCCTCGCTGCCAGTCTGGCCAAGGCACCGAGGCTAAAGCAGCAGGTGAGTGTGGGCCAGGCCAGGCCAGGGAGCCCAAGGCCCCGGGCAGCCCAGGGCCTGGGAAGGGGCAGCGTGGCCTGCTCCCCTGGGTGTGTGTGAGAGGCACGGGTCCGGGTCAGCTCCGGGAAACATCCCGAGCCCTCCACTGTTTCTAGCACTTACCTCACTCCTTAGTTCACATGTGGCCAACATGTTGAGGAGGGGAGGCCTTGGGCTTCCCTGAGGGAATTGGAACCTGGGGCCCTCAGAAGCCAGGTCTGGGGGAAGCTCCCAGTGCTCGCTACCTGGACCTGGAGCAGCAGGAAAGGGCGTGGTGGGCAGCGGTGAACACCAGGACCCCTCACCATCAGAGGTATTTGTGAACATCACTGTGCATTTGCTGCAAAGCCATTTGCCCCCGTTTCCCAGGAGCCCCCAGGAGGCTCTGGCACCTGAGTCTCTAAGTCAAAATCCAGGGCTGGCATAAAGTAGCTGTGTGGTTTGAGCTGGTTACATGGCTTTTCTGAGCCTCACTTTTCTCTTGTGAGATGTGGGGAAACAGCATCTGCCTGATGGGATGCAGTGAGGATTCAATTAGAGCACGTGGGAGCTGTGCAAACACGGGCCATGCCCGGCTGACAGCTATGAAATGTGTCCGGTGGGGAGGGTCACCTATTTCCCCTTGGTGCAGAGAGTGCTGCCTGGGTGCTGGCATATCAAGGGCCCATGGGAGGCTCCTGGGTCTCCCACCCCAGTGTGCTTGTCCTCCCACCAAGGAAGAAAGAGACAGGTGAGCCCTCTATCGTCACACACAGCAACAGATTGTCAGAGCCAGGCCCTGCAGCCTCAGTGTGACAACCCAGAGACCCATAAGACAGCCACACATCACTTCAAAGTGGTTTTAATTCATCATGTCTATAGATAAGGTGAACAGAAAGTCCCAGTCCTCTTGTCCTCGAGCACCATGAGTCACTTCAGAAGAAGCTTTTCAAGAAACTCCACAAGCAATGGAACTACTGCTGCTGATGTACTTGACAACTAAGCCATGTTCAGCACCTACCATGTGCCAGGCCCCGAGCTACTGCGCATTCCAGGCATGGGCCCCACCTCCATGGGATGGCATGCCCCGTGGTTCTGTTTGGCTCTGGTTTCTTCTCTCTTCTCTCCCAGGGATAATTCCTAAAACCATAGGCCTGGAAATACTATCTGATGACTGGCCACATTGCAGCTTCAGGCCCACACTCTACAACCCTGCATCCAGCGACTGTACCTACTCTCCGTTTGGATCTCACTGGATTCAAACATACACAGCCATAGATAAAATTTTTGGCTCTCCCACCCCAAGTTTTCCCCCATTGTTGTTTGTTGGCCCACAATCCAACCAGTGTCAAGCTACAAATCTAGACGTCACCCTTGCATCTTCTCTTTCCCTCACGTTGTACATTGTGCTTGCTCCATCTTCCCAAACTATGTCCTAGTAGAGGCCCAATGCACGAAGATTCGTGCAAGAATGGACCTTCCTCCCCCTGGCTGCCAGCACCACCTTGTCTCTGGTCGGAGCAATCTTTCTGCCTTCCCACGCTGCCCAGAGACCCAGAGCAGGTGAGATGGAGAGGAACGCCTGCGTTCCACCCTGCCCCCAGCTGCTCAGAGCCTGTGTATGCAAATTAACCCGCCATCTTTGTTGGGTTAATTTGCATTAACTCCTGATGGGCTGGTGCATGTCACAAAGGTATGGTCAATTAGCATGTTACTCTTTTATTAGTGTAGATGACCATTTCTCACCCCTCCCTTGCTACCTGGCCCCCAAATATTGGAGTTTTCCTAAAGGGGTCCATGGCATTTCTTATAAATAAAAAAGTCACCTTTGGTGGTTCCTGGGAAATTCCTCAAGCATTATTGACATTAATGAAGAATCCCAAGGCCTTGGGAGTCCAGGGGAGGGACCCAGAGTGGCGGTGGCCCTTCAGAGAACTCTGAGTCCTGGACGAGTTGCAAGATTCACTCCAGAAACCAGCAAGGTGTGGCTTTCTATGCAGGAGATGTGATTGTTGAACAGGAATAAATAAAAGTTTATTACATTCAATCACAGGACACACACTGAAAAAGTCCGTATTTCAAGAAACCCATAGCAAATCCTTTCATAAAGGACACAATTCTTTCGCAGAAGGATCACCCCTTAATTTACTGGTGCCGTGAACGCATTTGCATAGGTCACATGTTCCTAAGGCAGGGCACGCTGGGGTGAGGGTCCTGGAGGTTCAGTCCCTTTGAAGACACACCGGTGGCTCACCAGAGTGACCGGCTCCACCTCTGGAGAGAGATGGACTACGTGGAGATAATAGACAGGTCATTTCTCCGGAGAGACGTGTCTGTAAACATGGCTCCCTTGTCCGGGAAGAAGATGCCCCGAAAGACTTTCCTCCACTCGTTCCTGAAGAGGGACATGTTGTAGAGGATGGGGTTCAGGGCCGCGTTGGCGAACGTGAAGGCCACCACCCAGAAGAAGAGGGACGGCCAGATGACCAGGTCCTGCTTGAAGTTCTGGACCAGGATGAGCAGGATGGTGATGATGATGGGGCTCCACATGATGAAGAAGGAGATCATGAGCAGGAAGAGGGTGCGGAAGAGCCGGAAGTCCTGCTGCGACACGCGGATCTGGTGGCTCTCCGAGTAGGCCAGGTTCACCGTCAGCCTCTGGCGCGACGCCTTGGTGATCTGCGGGACACAAGCCACGGAGCACGGTCACCGCAGGGCGACAGCCGGGAGGGCTGGCTCACGATGAGCACAGGGATGCGGAGATGGAACCTGCTGCCTCGGGGACTGTGTTGTGCAGAGAGAGCACCCTTAGGGGGGTTTGTCCACCCTTAGGGGAGGTCTGTCCACCCTTAGGGGAGGTCTGTCCACCCTTTGGGGGGTTTGTCCACCCTTAGGGGAGGTCTGTCCCCACTTAGGGAGGTTTGTCCACCCTTAGGTGCGCTGAAGAAATGGGGCACCTGGGTGGCCCCCTGAGAAATAAGGCAGGAAGTCATCGACTCGCAGATAGAGTGAACGGAGGGAAGTAAAAGGCCTGCACTGGGTGCTGTAGAAGAGGGATGTGAGGACAGAAGAGGGATGTGAGGACAAAAGCACACTACTTTGGGCTGAACGTGCCCTCCCCAAATTTATTTGTGAAAACCTAACCTCCAAGGTGATGCTGTTAGGAGGTGGGGCCAGGTGATTAGGTTATAGGAAGGAAGCTCTGCTGAGTGGGATTAGTGCCCTTAAGAAACAGATGAAGGGCCCTAGCTGGCTTGGCTCAGTAGATAGAGCTCTGGCCTGCAGAGTGATTCTGGTCAAGGGCACATGCCCGGGTTGTGGGCTTGATCCCTAATAGGGGGGCGTGCAGGAGGCAGCTGATCAATGATTCTCATCATTGATGTCTCTCTCTCTCTCTCTCTCCCCTTCCTCTCTGAAATCAATAAAAATAAATTAAAAAATAAAGAAGCGATTCTCTTCTTCCTGATAAACTGAGAGCACTCTTTAGAAGTATTCTACTAAGAAAAGAAAAATAAATAAATAAAGAGATTAATCTTCATTTATCAGCAGTTACAGAATAGTCATGGGATGTAGCCAATACAGTGATATGTAATAACCATGGAGGTGCCAGATGGGGGATCATTAGGTAAGTCACAGGAATATCTAACCACTATGCTGCACACCTGAAAAACTAATTAATATTCAATATCAACTGTAATTTAACGTATTTTGAATTAAAACAATTAGAAAAGAGGCCCAAATGCACTCCCTGGATACGCCTGCCGTGGGAAGACACAGTGTGAGGTCGGCAATCTGCAGCCTGCAGGGGGCTCTCACCAGGATCCCCATGCTGGCACCCTGATTTCCCACTCCCAGCCTCCGGAGTGGTAAGAAATCAATTTCAATTTCTATTGTTTATAAGCCACATCATAAAAGGCTCCCAGGGGGCTGCCATCCTCTCCAGCCCTGTTCTTCGGGGGGGGGGGGGGGGGGAAGAGACTGCTCAGGAGACGTAACCTGCCATCTCAGGCTTACATGCCGGAGGTCACACTGGCACACCCAGGCCTGGAAGCTGCTGTGTAGAATCAGGTTAGAATGTGTGTCCAGGTGAAAGCTGCTTCAGCTGACTCTACCGTGGCCAACGGACCTAGGAGAGTGACCGCTGGGCAGGCTGGTAGGTGTGAGGGCTGCAGGGAAATGCCACCACTGCTGCGTAGGGGTGTCACTCTGGTCCTGAGTGCAGCCCGTTGGACACACAGGAATGATTCAAAAGCAGCCTCATCGCTCGTGCTGCCCACATGGCCTGCCCAGAAGGAGGAAGTCCCTGGTACTGTGTCATATACATTTTTTTTTTAATGAATGGTGGTGATGCATGCTCCTATTTACTGAGCACTTATGTGCCAGGCCCTGTACATATCACTTGGTTTATCTCTTTAAATTCTCCCAGCAGTTCTGTGACATATAATGTACTTTGAGGATCCCCATTTTACAGATGAGGAAACCAAGGCTAAAAGAGGTTAAACAACTTGCCCAACAGCACCCAGCGCTTGCAGAGCCGGGCTTCAAACCTTGGCAGTCTGGCTCCAGCCCATGCTCTTAATCTTAAACTAGTTCCTTCCCACTCTCTATTCTGTCAGTGGAAAGCCTCTGCCCAGCCTGTAAATCCAATCTCTAACGCCAGGAGCTCTGAGAAGGTGAACCAGCTTCCTGGTTCATCTCCTGCGTGGCCCCAGCAGGGCTTTGTTGCAGGAAGTCACAGGGCACCTGCCACGGACACTGTGTCATAGACGTTGGAGCGTCATTCTTGCCTCTGAGCCCCGCTCCCCGGGTGCTGGGCTGCCCTGTGGCTCCTGTGCTGACAATGACTGTGAGCAAACAGACAGACACATTGGACTGACTCATGGGCCAAGCAGCTGCGAGGCTGCGTCTTTTTTTAGCGCTGACGGCTGCTACTATTTCCTTCTGGGCCCCGTTTCTGCGATTTCTGGGGATGAGAAGGAGAATGGGCCCATTACAATGAGATGTGGCTCCCTCTTCCCCACTTTAGATGACAAGACTAGTCACCTGCTCTCCGGGGCTTTCAATGTCCCTGGCGTTGGGCAGGATGTTTGAGGTGCTTTTAAACGAAATGCTCCGTTAACGTCTGAGGATTAACTTTAATCCTTAAAACAAGCCAGTGGGGTAAGTTCTGTCAGTACCCATTTAGGAGCGAGAGATGAGGCTCTGAGCGGTGAAAGTGACTTGCACAAAGCCTGGAGATCGAGTGGGGGTGTGTACCTGGGCGGGAGGGGTGTGTGTGTGTGTGCTGAGTTCTGCTGCAGGGAGAGAGGACAGCGCTCCGGAATTGTGGTCCACGGCCACCTGCACAGCCACCTGGCACTTAGTAAAACGCACCTGATGGGCCCACTTTCAGACACTCTGCTCCTGTGGGCCTGAGAAAAGTCTAGAAATCCACACTTTCATAGACCCCCCGGGTGAGCCTCACCCACTAAAGCATGGGAACTATTGGTCTGGGACAACAGACTTGAACTTTCTCCCAGACCTTTGAGGAGTTACTCTAAAACAATTGTATATATTATATGTAAAATATATTTCAGAGAGGAAGGAGGGAGAGAGAGAAAGACATCAATGCTGAGAGAGAATCACTGATTGGCTGCCTCCTGCATGGGCCCCACTGGGGATCAAGCCCACATCCTGGGCATGTGCCCTGATCAGAACTCGAACCATGATCTCTGATTCATAAGTCAACACTCAACCACGGGGCCATAGGGGCACGGGCGTGAGGAGTCACTTGTTAAATGGTTTGAGACTCGCCGCCTTCATCTGAAGGCCGTGAGGGAACCTTCTCTCCGCCTCAGACCCTTCGCCTCTCCATGCCACCAGACCATGGCTGCTGACGGACACGGCTCAGGTCCCTGAGCGCTGGGTCTCTGGGGGCTGCCTGGTCAACCAGCAACTTCCTAATTAGAATCATCAGACAATGAATGGCCTCCATCCTTCCAGAGGGCCCTCCTCCCTTTCCATCGGCAAACAGGCTTCAGCGCTGGGGAATGAGGGTCAGGTGTGGGGAAAGGCCTGCGTGTTCACTGCCCAGCACCTTCACGTTCAGCTGAAACATTTTGCTTCTCAGGTAAGCTCCGAGATAGAAAAGCGGTCTCCAACTTTAAGCCACAGACGCACTCCCATGCAATACACATGCATTGAGCCCCTTCTATGTGCCAAGCACTCTTCTAGGTGCTGGGTGTATAGCCAAAGGCAAGGGCACCTGCCTACCTGCACTTCCACGTCAGTGTGCAGAAGGGGAACAAGAAACATACAAACAAAGGGCAGAAGCATCTCACCTTGTCATGGCAATGGTTGCTGGGTGACAACATAAACCAAGCCCCAACAACTAACATTGACAGCCCGATTGAAGGTACTTGGGAGTGGCTGGGAGGCTATTGCCCTAGGAAACTGTTGATTGGAAAAAAGCCATGGAAGATGTATAGCCTGGCTGAGTCATGGGCAGGCAGAAGGGCAGATAAGATGGGAAGACATCTGTCTGTGCTCCATCCTGACCAGAGCAGACCAGCAACGAGGGTGGGGACTTGAGAGCAGCTTCCCGGAGGAGACTCATGGAGCGCCAGCCCAGAGAGATGCTTTGTGGGGAACAGAGTCCTGCTGTCAGATGTAGCCATGCTGCCTCCTCTCACCCTGGGCTGGAGATCCCCAGCGTACATTCCCATAGCACAGACTCTGAGGAGTCCTGCAGCAAAGGAATCCACGTAACCTGGATTAGCCTAGCCTTTCCCAAACTCATTTGATCACGGAACCCTTGCTAATGTCTAACATCCCATGGAGTTCTAGAGAGTGCCTTACGGGGAACTCTGCCAGAGAGGAATACGAGATCAGGGCGATCTGGAAGGTCACTTCTCAGGCCTAGAGATGGAACCCGAGTTAGAGTCAGTAGTGACAGGTGGAAGGTAGGGCTGGTGAGAAAGGGGTACGTGGTGTAGCTTTGTGTCCCGAGGCTCCACATGGTTTGCTAATTGGGTCTCTGTAAATATGGCTAATTAACACTGGCATTCAATGATTTTACAGTTATACTCTTGACAGGAAAACTCGGCAGAAAAGCTGATTCCGTGTCTCTGAGTATGAATATCTTCGGAGGTATCCTGCCCAGACCCTCCATCCACCTGGCGACGACTCCCCTGTTTCCAAGTTACCAGCCTGGCAAACCCACAGGTGCCCAGTAAGGACACATGGTATGGTCCACCCAGGAAATGGACAGCAGGTTTGCTAGTAAGCGAGAAGTAATTTTTAAAATGTCTTACATATGCATTAACATTGTGGTTTTCAAAACATTATCATATCTGCCCTCATTTCATTGTGTTAAACAATCCTCGGAGACCCACTTAGCCCCAGAGAAAACTGAGTGACTTGCCTAAGGTCACACAGAAATAAAGCTCGGACTAGAACCCGGGTCTTAGACTCTTCAAGCAGAGATTTTCCCACTGCCCAAGAGGAGAAGGCCCTTTCCTTAGAATAAGTCAGTCCTCCCTCTCAGGCAGCTGAGAAGTATGAGACACGAGTGAAAGGAGAAGACCAGGCCCTCTTGGCTTCTAAGGAACTCTGGAGCCAGACTACCTTCCATTTTGATACCGCTGCTTATGAGCTGTGTGGCCTTGGGCTAGTTACTTAACCTCTCTGAACTTTGGTTTCCGCATCTGTCATTCTTAGCAGTGTTAAATGAGTTAGTTCCTAACACACTATAAACACTACATAAATATTTGTTAAATCGTTTTTAAAAATAATTTTAAATTATTTCTATTTATCTTCCTTATCCCCACTTCTTTTAGCATAACAATAACAGCTAACACTTACCTCGTACATGGCACTTACACATGCTAGGTGCTATTGCAGGCATCTTACAGACCTTAACTCTAGGCCTAAACTGTCCTCATACCATTGAAAAGCCCCAGAAGGGGGTCAGTTGAAAGAGGGTCAGAAGTCCACGGGTGGGGGAGAGGCTAGGGAATACCACAGGACTCAGGATTAGTAGAGTTGGATGGAAGTGGGGCTGGTGTTGAGCATCTAAAACAGTGACAGATCTCAGCACAAAGGAAGAGCCATAAAAGTGGCCAGACAGTAAGCAGGACCTACAAACCCTCACTTCAATATCCCTGTTTGCCAGGTGACTCGTAATTCACTAAAAAACCAAGATCTGACAACTGTAAACCTCTGAGAGGACTCAAAGGCTTTGCATTCAACCTTCTCAAACAAGCACATCCACACGGTTTTCCTGTCCAGCACATACATGTAAGCATGCTGCCTCCAGAGGTAGGAATCAGGCTGGCAGGGCTTTTTACATCCCTACATGCTTGCTCTGAAGGCAACGCCATGGCCTGTGTCAGCTGCTTTGGAAAGGCACATTTCCGGGGCTGGGGGCTGGGGGCTGGGGGTAGCGGGTGGAAGGTGGTGGTGGGAGCTGGGTAAGGTGCTGTTTCTGGAAGCTGCTCAGGGAGTGGGGTCAGTTTGTGAGCTGGGTGTGTGTGCTGGGTGTGCTTTTCTGTCTGTACATTATGCGTCAATAAAACATTGTAAAAGTGTGTATTCTCTCACTACACTGCTGTGTGTGGTAGGGAAACAAGGACGCAATCCTAAAGCCCATAAAATGAATTATGTCACAGCTGTATGACAGAAGGTCATCAAGCCGTTAAAAATAATGAGGCAGAGATAAAGGATCTGATATGGGAAGATGTTATGTTAGAGTGTTAAGCAAAAAAAGAAAGTTAAGAACCAGACAGTAGCATCTCAAATCTGCAAAATAGTTGACATTTGATCATTTTATATGATTTATCATGCACATAGAATAAAACTATGTATATATGTAAATAACTTGGAAAATATACAATGAATTAACAATGGGGGTAGCATAGATTTTTATCTTGTATGGTACACAATCTCCATATTTTTTAAATTTTTTGTAATACACTTGTATTCAGTGATTAGTGACAAATAATAACAACCATAAAGGTGTAACTTTACTTTTTGCAGGAGGGGTAGATCTCTGCAGTGAGCCAGAATTGGGCTGGCGTGAGCCCTAAGGTAACTTCTAACCCAGAAATGCTAAGACTCCACCTGCGTGAAGGTCAGCTGCGGTCTGGAAGCACACGTACCTGTAAGATTTTGGAGTAGCTGATCACAATGAGCAGTCCCGGCACCAAGAAGTTCAGAGTGACAAAGGACACATCCCAGGAGATTTCTCCGGCGAGGCTGGGCCAAACCAGTGTGCAAATCAGAATTTCCTAGTCATAAGAAGGAAGAAGAGGTCATTTCAATGCTAGCTTCTTATTTGGCCTTAAGCCCATTCCAGCTGGGGGTTTACTGGGCACCCTAACACTAATGTGTTACTTATTGGTACACTACCACACAATGGACAAGAAACCCCAGAATCCCTTCCAAGGGCCACACAGCCCCACTTACAAATCATCTGCCTCTGACCTCACAATAACTCAGGGTCACAGGCTGATAAGAGCCAGAGTTAGTTCCCAGGCATGACTCCAAGCCCAGTGCTCAAGGCAACAGGGTCCACATGAAGGCACAGTGTTCCTTTGGAGGCCGTTCAAACGTCTGCAAGTGTCATGCTGCATCAGAGAAGAGCATGGCTGACGCCAAGGCAATGCTGGTGCCCTGACTTGGGAGTTCTGTCCCTGGGGGCCTCTCTCCAGAGGAGCACACGGCAGCCTCAGACCAAGACGCAAGCACAAACCTCCATCAGCTCAAGTGGTGAAACCACTGGAAAGTGGCCAAAGAACTAGCAGGTGTGACCTTGCTGCTGCCACTGTGTTGTGTTGAATTCAAATATTTGGCCCTAAACAGCGGGGACATTACTGAATAGTTAAGAGATGCTGCAACAATGTCCTCTGATGAATAAGTAGGCCAATGAAGATACTGCTAGATATATGATAGAAGAGCCCTATCTATCTATCTATCTATCTATCTATCTATCTATCTATCTATCTATCTTTCTATCTATCTTTCTATCTACCATCTACCCACCCCTCCTCCCAAACCCAAATATCCTGTGCCCGCTTCACGATAGGAACAAAACTGTTCAGGAAACAAATTGCTCTTCCAAGCGTTTAACAGGTTTCGGAGAGTGTATTTGTGTAAAGAGACCATATCATTGATTTCTGGTGAACAAGGCATCTTAACCAATGTCCAGAAGAAATATTATCATCCATAGCACCATTCATTCACTCATTCATTCATTCAATATTTACTAAATGCTATACTAGGCAAAGAGGTTTTTTTTTTTATCATTCCTCAATATGTATCATAATTAGGTGGTCAAAATCATAATACAGTCAAGTAGTCCCTTCTTCTCCTATTCAGTATCAACAAAGCACTTAGTCCACACCAGGTAACACTTTACATACATTATCTCATTGGATGTTCACAACAACCTTATGGAGATGTATTATCACCATTTTTCGCATCACACAGAGGAGGAAACTAAGGCTTTGAAACATCCTCCTCAAATAATTTAACACTAATGATGTAGTCCTTGTGAATCGTGTATTTTCCCTTAAGAGCTAAGGCCAACTGTGGTAGACAGTTAGACGTGAGCAAAACAAGGACGATGGGCCAGGTACAGGAAGTCACCAGGACAGAAAGCCCGAGTGCCTAACAATTAGCAAAACTGGGAAAACAAGAACCTCACCCCAGGGCATCCTTGGTTAAATGCAGTGTTTAATTTCATTTTTAAAATTTAAAAGAAGAAAATCAACAAACACCAGGCCCACAGTCACAGCTCTAACTCGATGTTATGATTTTGTTTCTGTGGGAAAGTCTATTTGACGTAAGTCGTTTGGATTCTAGGTTGTGACTCACAGGAGTTTGGCAGCGGATCAAATCTGGAAGGTGGGGGCAGGAGTGTTACAATAGTCTCCGCATGTTTGAGATGTTTCCTGATTTTTAAAAAAGAAATTTGAAAGCCTAAAGTGCTAGGCCCGCTTTGTTACTGAGCTACAGAAGCAAAGCTGGCTGAGTCAACAAGTGTCCTTTAATCCATTTGCTCAGCCACGGTTGATCCAAGCCGTGGTGGCTGAGCCACAGAGCGTGGGCTTGGGCCCTGCAGCCAGGGAGGGAGAGGCTCTGGGTACCTTCAATGCAGGGCATTGGGCTGGAAGTGCCCAGCAATCGACAGGTGCCAGGAGAGAGGAGCCACCTGGCAGAGCTGCATCCTGGAGGGGTGTGTGTCCGCTGTGTCTGAAAGGATCGGGTTTCCTGGGAAGGGGGAAGCTGGAGCTCAGCGTCAGGACCAGAAGGGATGAAGGCAGGAGGCCAGGCACATCGTGTGGTTAAATGTGACTTCCATCCTCCCCAGCCCAACCCCCACCCCTCCCTAGCACACTCATTTCCATGGCTTCTTTTTGCAGGTGATGCTGAAATCTAGTCTTTTCAGCCAGTCTTCTTCTGAGCCCACACTCACCCCACTCCCCTGAGGACGTCTCTGCAGGGCGCCTCATGGGCATGTCAAGCCTCCCACATCCCACTCGCAAAAGCTTCCACCGCCTGCAGTCACTGACTCCGCCTGGAGCTGCCATTCCCCACGCTGCCAGGAACCTGGGCACTAGCCTCCTGCCTGCTGCCTCCCCACTCAGAGGGAACCTCGGAGTTCCACCTCATAGCTATCCGATCCACCCACAGACCTCATTCTAACTGGTCACCCCCTCCCAGACCAGGCCATCTCTCCCTGAAGGGGAGTACCTGGCCCTTCTCCAGCTGGCCCCTGCCAACCCTCCTACTGATTATGGGCTATTTCCTGCACCTAAATGTTCCTAAGTCTCCCCCATCCTTGTCTGGCTGCCTGCCTGTCCTCTTCACACTCTGCTAGATACACTTCTTGTCTAAGAAGACCCCCCTGTGGATAGGGTCCTCTTTCCACACGCGCTGCTCAAACCCTGCCTTCTCCCCACACTGGCTGAATTACAGGCAAATGCCACCTGATTCCAGCTGTTTCCTGTCAGCGTCTCTAATGATTCTTCTGATAGGTTTTTGTTTTGTTTTTTAACGTGTTTTAAAATTGATTGATAGAGAGAGAGGGGAAGAGAGAGGGAGGGAGAGGAAGAGAGAGAGAGAGAGAGAGAGAGAGAGAGAGAGAGAGAGAGAGAGAGAGAGAGAGACATCAATTTGTTTTTCCACTTATCTACGCATTCATCGGTTGATTTTTGTATGGAGATTGAACCTGCAACCTTGGCATGTAGGACTATGCTCCAACCAACTAAGCTACTTGGCTAGGGCTCTAAAGATTCTTCTGGAACACCCCGGAGATCACTTCATAAATCATCCTTCCGGTCCCACCTCTTCAAACAGAAACTGTAAGACTTCAAGGTCATTTTAAGGAACTTCGAACCCTACTTGCACATCTCCTCTCCTATCAGCTTCCCAACAGAAAAGAAAGAAAATATCAATGCAAGCAATAGACGTACTGTCTTTTATCTTCTAAGCGTCCTCTAAAGTTAACAAAGGCAAGCAAACTGTGTTTCCTGAGCCAACTCACACTCGATACACACACGATGGCATTATGGGGCTCATCTTAAACCCGGGCAGAGTGGGCCGTGGGACCAAGGCTCGTGGGAAGAATGAACTCCGGAAAATGACAGCAGGAGGAACAGACTGACCCCGGCTCAATTCCAGCTCCACCTCTTACCTGCTTTCTGACTTTTGGCATTTCTTCCTCCAGGAAATAAACACAAGAACACCTGCTCATGGGACTGCATTCTGCCAGGGCCTGGGACCACCTGCATGCTCAAAAAATGCAGTTCCTCGAAGAGGTTGAGAGAGTCTTGGGCATGTAACCCGTGGTGAGGGCAGGGGGAGGGCTGCTCAGCAAATGTTTGTAGAATAAATGGGCCGCACATTCTGGCCAGGGTGGACCGTCCTCCCCAGCTGCCGGTGAGGGCCACCGCCCCACTGGGGCCACGGCACACACAGGCAGGAATGCCGTTGGTATGGGCTGAGCTGACCTGGCTAACATGTCTAAGTTACTAGGATGTGTTCCCCCTCTTAAAATGGCAGCCTATTATTTCACAGCAATCAGGAGAATTGCACTGTTTAAAGAATGTTTAAAATATTTCTAACCACAGATAAGGAAACTAATAATAGCTGGTAATTTCTGAGCCCTTAACCGTGTCTGTGCCAGATGCTGGCCGGCCCATTTCCTGAACCTTAGTCCCCATGACAATTCTAGAAAGTGAAAACCTGATATCAAGCCCGTTTTGCAAAGGAGGAAGGTGAGGTATAGAGAAGCAGGACTGCTCACTTGCCCCTGTCACACAGCTCCTGACCGGCAGAGATAGGATTCAAACTCACAGCGTCTGACTCCAAAGCCCACAGTCGTCACACCAGATTATGCAGCATTTTCTGAAATGTCCATTATTTCATCCTCCCGGCAGGGAAGTCACCCTGGACTGCTGGGTTACCCTGGCTGCGGGGCACCCACTGCCGAAATGGACAAAGGGAATCATGTTTTTGACTTGGTGGGGGGTCCAGGTGAGCAGAAAGCCCCCTGGCCAGCGCCAGCTTGTGCTCGGGGTCAGTTAGCTCATTCTCTGCACCTGTGGTTTGGGTAGGAGAATGTTCCCCATCCACAACCTCCATATTTCATGTCCAAGTGGGAGGTGGCAGACCAAACCTCCGGCCAGGAGGCAGGCAGTAGGGGGCTGAGAAAACAAGCCTTTGCCGATTTCAATAGGAGACAGTTCATTCTGGACCAGATTGTTCTTTTTAATGGCCTCACTCCCTTTTGTCCCTCCATTTCTCATTCTCTAACTTATTTCTTAAACCACTGGGCTTGTTCGCTCGCCTATAAAATGAGATGTGTCCTGCATGCTCAGGTCACAGCCTTTGAGGAACCAGGGTTTTTTCTGTTTGTTGGCTCACTGGCAGGTGCACGGTGGGGATGGGTGGGGAGGAGGGGGAGGGAGGCATAACACAAAGGGGAACAGACCGAGAGGAGGGAGAGCTGGAAAGGACTGTAGAATTCTCATTACACGCTCCCTCTCCACCTCCATGATTTCCGGGAACAGGGCTCCTGTCACCAGCTCACCTGCCCCCCAGTCCCTGCGGTGCTGTAAGGAGCCATTCTCTCCCTGTGGCTTTGCCCAAACCCCTTTCCTAAGGCTCTGAACACAAGGGGGTGTTTCCGGATTAAAAGCAGAGGGGTCTGGGTGCCCTGCCCACGGGGGACGGAGGGAAGGCCACCTCACTCCGATCTCTGTGAGAGCGCCTCGCAGGGAACCCTAGTCCTTCTGGAAGCGGAATGCAGAGGGCTTTGACCGGATCCACATGCCTCCCTCCCTGCAGAGGTAAAACACAGGGTGGAAAGACATGGAAGACAGTTGTTGTGTCCATGTCGGCAAGCAGTTGTAGTCTGGGCTTTTGGCCTGGAGGCGACAAGAGCCTCGTTTTTTAGTATTATTTGACAGGTACCTAGGCGTGTACCTACTTAAAAACAACCGTAAAAGAGAGAGACACAGATACACATCTAGGAACATAAGATACCCTTAAGCTCTATCCTTCATTCTGTGATTTGCCATTTGTTTTTGTAAAAAAAAAAAAAAGGGGGGGGGTGGGGAGAAATCTCTCAAGTTCTGTTTAAAAATACAGAAGCACTATCTCAGTGAGGGATTTACTTAAAAAAAAATAAAATCAAAAGACCAATCAGTCTTCAAGCGGATTCAACCGGTCTGGGGTGAGGCCTGGCCTTCCACTTACTTGAGAGCATCTGTGTGGCCACCTGGATCCTCAGGTGTATCTGGGCAGAGGAGACCAGCTGCCCATGGTCTCTCCATGAAGCTAGGGCCCTTGGTCTCCCCATGCCCATGGCGCCCACCAGCTCAACTAACCCCAGCTTTTCTGGCCCCCCTTAAAGAGACACGCCACAGGCTCCTATTCTTTGATCAACTGCCACGGGCCTGCAACAAACCAAACAAGCAAAACCCCACAATGTATTCCACGCAAGACATCAACTATTAAGAGAAAGACTTTTAGGATTGAGGTGTGTTAAAAAGATACTGCTTACACAGGATGCAGACTTCTCTCCCACCCCCGGTAAAAGGTGACAGACAGGTCAGGGGAGACCCCCAGAGAAGCCCACCTCTGTGTCCAGGCTCTGGAAGAGACACCAGGGAGGCAGCGGAAGAAGCTCAAAGCCTTCTTCTCCTCACCACCCTCCCCTCCCCAACCCAGCCCCCCTCCCTTCCCACCCTTCTGGCCACAGCACGCGCCTCTCTTTGGGGCTGTGGTTTGTGTCAGGCTGGCTCCGGGTGCCCACCCTCCCTCCTAGGGCCAGGGCTGAGCATCTCTGGGGAGCAACCTCTGGAGGAAGAAGGAGGGGGAGGGAGCCAGCCAAATGCAGCAGCCTGGGGAGGCTGAGCCGCCTGTTGGGAAGGTGCACAGACATGAGTCCTGCCCCTGCCCCTGCCCCTCCTCTCAAGGCGCAGGAAGACCAACACACAGGGGCTGACGGCCAGAACCGCCGGCGGCTGTCCTCCCAGCCCGCGCTCCAGCGCGGAGTCCTGGCGTGAACCGCAGCTCAAACCCTGCCGCCAACAGACCAGCACCGGGGGCTGGAGCGCGGAAGGAGCGGACCAGAGCCGATGTCATGAGCGTCCGCAGAACTGTTTTTAGATGGCGGACCCACCCCCACGCTCCCAATGACAACTGGGGGTCGTGGTGCTCTAAGAAAGCTCATGGGCCCAGCCCCAGGGCCCTGCGGGCATTTCGGGTGCCCAGGATACTCTGAAACCGCCCACCACCCGGGTTCCCAGGGCGAGCTCCCCCGGGCTGGTCTCACCCTTCCATCTCCAAGTTGGAGACACTGAGGCTCCAGGAGAAACCACAACCCCCTCCCCAAAACCCCCCTCCCCCAGGCAGGATTGGTCCTGGGGCCTCTAGGTCTCTAATCCCCTTTCTCCCCGGCATATCCACATGCACCTGCGCCCTCCGAGCAGGGCCCGCGCCAGCTCGAACTGAACCTGCTGAGCGCGACCCCAGCTCCTCCTGGGCTACTCCTCGGCCTGGGCTCCGCTTCCCCGTCTGCAGAGTGAGTGTGACGGATACTGTCGCATGGGATTCACAACTCCGAGTCCCCTAAGTTCCCTCTGGCTGGCTGTGAAGCCCCCCGTTATTTCACTACTGTTGCAGTGAAGAGTGGGTGCATCTTACAGACATTTTGGGGACCCCACTTGCAGCATTTGGGAGGGCGTTTACGGGACCCACATGGCGCGGTTGCCGTGAAATTTAAGAGAGAAACTCCACAGCCAACGGCCTATCATCGCTGCTGTGAACCTTCACCCCCGCGGCCCTTTGATCCCCGTCCTCCCGCCAGCGGCGCGCTCACCTGCTCGGAGCCGGGCAGGCGCTGCGGGAGGACGTGGAAGAAGACGCAGAGCGGCAGCGCGGCCAGCGCCGAGTAGCCCCAGATGAGCGCCAGCAGCGCCGCCCGCGCCCGCGGCCCGGGGCCCCGCACGCCGCGCTGCAGCCGCACGATGCACACCACGCGCTCCAGGCTCACGGCCGCCAGCGTGAGGATGGTGACGCTGCCGCTCAGGGTCATCACGTAGAGGAGCAGGTGGCAGGCGGCCGGGCCCAGCGCCCAGGCCTCGGTCCAGCGCACGGCCAGCACGAGCGGGATGGCGCCGGTGAAGAGGAGGTCGGCGCAGAAGAGGTTGAGCACCAGGCAGGCGGTGGTGCCGCGGCGCCGGCGGCGCGCCACCAGCACCAGGGCGCACGCGTTGCCCAGCAGCGACACCGCGAAGATGAGCGCCAGCACCACGGTCTCCACGGCGCTCAGCACCAGCCGGTGGTCGCCCTTGACCTCGGAGAAGAAGGAGAAGCGCGTCCGATTGTCCGGCGCCGGGAGGCGCGGGGGCCCGGTGCCCGCGGCCGCCGCCAGCGCGCAGTCAGGGGACATGCCCGGCGGCCGGCGGCCCGCAGCGGTCTGCGAGCGAGCGCGCTCCTCTGGGACGCGGCTGCGCTCGGGCTGGGGCAGAGGGAGGGAGGGAGGGAAGGAGAGAGGGAGGGAGGGAAAGAAGGAGGCGGTGGCGACACCTCCCCGTTGACCCCCTCCCGGCGCGGGAGCTCGGGCCGCTGGGCGTAGCGGCTGAGCCGGGGCGCCCGGGAACGAGGAAGTGCCCGGCTGCAAACACCGGGCTGGGGACGGCTCTCCCGGCTGCGCAGGAAGGGGGTCCGTCTAGAACAGTGTTTCCCAAAGTGTGTTACGCGTACCCCTAGGGGTACGGGAAGAGTTGGGTGGGGGTACGCGTTGCACCGGAGTTTAGTGGGGATATGCACTGCACCGTGCTTAGCTGCGCCTGACTCTACTTTCTCATGAGTATGAGGGGTACTCAGCGTCACGAAAATTATAGAAGGGGGTACACATATCTCAAAAGTTTGGGAAACACTGGGCTAGAAAGAGATTCCACCATCTTGACTAAGTTCAAGTTGTAAAATAACCAGCTTGCTTGCTGACACAGTGGAAAAGGGGCAAGAGACTGAAATGAAAATGCAGGTAAATTTTGCATTCTGAGCAATGATAGAAAGTGCCTTCAAGTAAAAAGAGTGGTCGTGAACAAACTTGACACCCCGGAAGGACATCCCAGTGGTTTCGGGTGTACACACAGGCTGTGAATGTACCTCTGGCACCCCAGTTGGACATGAGCAATCAAACCCCCTTAGAAGTGAGGAAACTATGGCACAGAAAGAAGTGACTTGTCCAAGGAGGCCCCTGGTTAGTAATAAAGAGCCATGTCCCTGCCCTGCCCCACACATTCCCACCACACCCATGCCATCTCGTTCATGCCCATGCCATCTCGTTCATGCCCATGCCATCTCGTTGTTACAGGAAGTTAGGCAGTTAGTGTCAAGTGTGCTTATGGCCCTAACAGTGCCAACTTCCTCACCGCCCAGGCCATCACCCCCTCTCCCCTTTGCCACACTGCCAGGCCTCTCCCACTTGCCCGTTCTGTCTTGTGAGTGTCTCTGTGTATTTAAGAAGGGTCCTAGTGCTTTCTGAGGGGAGGGCTGTGTGTGGGGGGGGTCTGCTTATTACTGTGTCATGTGGGTCTGAGTTGACAATGTGACCTCTGACCTGAGAGGCAGTTTGCAAGTCAATGAGAGATGTTCCACTTAAATCTTGACTAAGTTCAAGTTGTAAAATAACCAGTTTGCTGCTGACACAGTTGAAAAGGGGCAAGAGATTGAAATTAAGGAAACTCAGATGGAAAGGGGCGTTGTCTGACTGGGGTCAGAGGACAGTAGTTTTGTGTGAGAGAAAGGAAAGCTGTATGTGTGTGTGAGAGAGAGAGAGAGAGAGAGAGAGAGAGAGAGAGAGAGAGAGAGAGAGAGAGAGAGAAAGAGGCAATTCCATTATGCCAGGCTGAAGTGCCATGGGAACAGAAAGGTTTCCCCAGAGTGGATAAGCAGGGTGAGGTCTCTGAGCTAGGACTTCTCCATTACTACCCTCCAGGCTTCTCCCAAGGGTAAAAGGGTGAGTGCAGAGCTTCCCAAGCCTTCTGCTTTCCATCACCTAGGCCAAAAAAAATAACCAACAGCTCCATTTAGGCAGCTGGGTCCAAATGACTAATAGGACTTTATATCCTAACAACTTAGTAGGCATCAAGGTAAACATTAAATAGGAGTTGAAAAGTAAAATTTTTGTTTCATTCTGAAATAACCACAGTGACTTCCTAATGGGATGGTGCACCTGTTGAGCTCCACAAAACCGGGAATGAGATTGGGCACTGCCACCCACATTTTCAGCTCCACAGTGATTTCCATGTATCTGCTTTTAGTCACAATAAACCCTGAGCACCCAGCTTTGGAAGTGGATTTAATTGGAAACTGTGAGTGACCTAGAGCTAGTACTTCCTGTGGAGTCCCATGGATGCCGGCTAGTGCTGTTTCCCTGGGCACCGAGCACATGTGGGCACAGTGGTTAAGAACATGGGTTTGCAAACTCGCCTGTCAGGATACAAATCCTGGCTGCACATCTCACCGTGTGACCTTGAACTTTACTTCTAGTTCTTCAGTCTTCCCATACATAGAAAGGATATAATAATAACACCAACCTCCTCGGGGCTAGTTCCTGCATGGAGAGCACATAGCGCCATGGTCATCAAACAGACACCAGGTCAGGCTCAATGCTCATCACTATAGAGTCTTACGGACCAACCACACATACCCATCCGCAAAGACAGCCTCAGGTTATGAAGTTATTGTCAGAATTCCCTTCCACCCTCAAACTGCCCTGGTTTGGAGGATAAATTATATGCTCAGACTGTCTGTTATCTCATTCTGTGCTCCTGCAAGTTGCACGCACTGGGATTTGTCTCTAGGCAGTCACACCCCAGTGCCCCTGCTCTTAACCACCAGAGCAGTACTTCTTGGGGAGATTTTGTGCGCGTGTGTGCGCACACACACACACACACACACTTCTTGGGGAGATTTTGTGCGCGTGTGCGCGCACACACACACACACACACACACACTGCAGAGATATTTGGTAATATTTGGACACATTTTTGATCGTCACAACTGGAGCTTTGCTACTGGCATCCAGTGGGTAGGGGAGAGGCCAGGGTTGCTGCTGAACCTCCTACATACACAGGACAGCCTCCCAGTAAAGAATTGCCCAGCCCAGAATGCTGATGGGATGAAGGTGAGAAATCTTGTACTATAGGCTATGGCCTCTTGGGACCTCACCAAATTTTATTTCTTATTATCATTCTCTGCTGTGAAGTCCCACCAAGTGGTAAAAAGCCAGAAATGTTATCATTCTCCTGGTAGAGATTACACCGAAAACTCCCTAACCCCTTTAACCAGCCCACTGTGAGCTCAGAGCGCTCGATGGCCCCAGGCGTGCACAGTGGTCAGATCCTCTTGGTCCATGGGGCTGGGCCTGGAGTCATCAGGGTGGACCGGTCTCACCTGTTCTTTGGAGCCAAGAAGGCAGGAAACCACAGGCAGAGCCCTGGTGAGTGTTGTATTTATTGCTCATGGTCATTAATTTCTATTATTGTCATGCTCCTTTGCCTCTCCACTCTTAGATTAAACGGTAGGAATGGCAACAAGGACCCACCAAGTGTAAACATAGACAGTGTGGTTCTGAGCTAAAGGGAAGGTCCCATGGAGGGATGACTCCTATGCCTGTTTACTTTATGTTTTTAACCAAACAGGTGGTGGGGACTTTTCTTTGTCTATTTTTTATTGTTTCTGTTTTACTTTTCCTCTGGAAAATATTTATAAAGCTTGTATGCAAATAACCCTGGCTCATTGCTTTTCTTCAAACTTCTCTGTGAGTGGTCTATCATCTATCTATCTATCTATCTATCTATCTATCTATCTATCTATCCTCTACCATCTATCATTTATCTATCTATCTATCTATCTATCTATCTATCTATCTATCTATCATCTATCTATCCATCCATCCATTTTTCTATCATCTAATCTATATATCTATCCATTTTCTATCCTCTATCTATCCGGTCCTTACAGAGATCAGAATACCTCCTTGCACCTCTGCTCCATCTTGTCAAGGACGGTCCCCACAACACCCCTTCCCCCAGTTGCCCTGAGGATTCCCAGCCAAGTCACCCCTCCACCAGGCCAGTGGGGTAAAGGAGGGCCAACTTGTGCTCGGAGAAGCTCGCTGTGCTCCGTCTTCGAGGAGGGCCAGAGTTGCCAGGCAGACAAGGCACTGGGCGGAGTTCCAGCACTTGCAACAGTGGGGCAGGGCAAGCGCTTCCACATGCCCCAGGCCGGTCATCTCCACTGTTCATAGCAGGTCTACCAGCCAAAAGGAGAAAATCCAAGTGAAGCTGGACAATGAAAAAGCTAAACCCAAGTGGGATGAGTGATCAGCCACCTGGTTGTGAAGTATTCACATAGGAGGGGCCCAGGGCAGGGATCTTAAAATGAGGTGGGGCAGCCGAGCCGCAGCTAGCATATGCAGTGCTTTATATACATTAGAAAAAGCGCCACCATGAGCAGACAGTTAGGAAAGGGCATTCCTTTCTCAGGTGGATGCAGCCTAGTCTCCGGGCTTGGCAGCAGGGGTTTGGCTGGGTTTCAGCGCCATGTGACTCCTCAGGTGGGCATCCTTTGCAGGGAGCTACCTGCACGTTGATTCACTGTGGCTCTGCCTTGTGGGTTGTGGGCTTGTGGCAGCCAGGGCCCATCTCACTGGCTCTTCTGCTCACTTGCTGGTGGTTTCTGCCCTCAAAGCCAAACCCCATGCCCCATCGCATCGGGGCGCCGACTGGGCAAGAGTGTGTCCCCAAGCCAATCACTTGCCTGGGGAATTTCCTCAGCTCACTGTGGCGGGTTTGTTGTCTGAGATGAAGAGAGGAGAGCAAGGGTCAGCCTTGTAGCAACTGTGAGGACTGCGAAGTGCAAAGAGGGGCTGACCTAGGCCTGTCCACCTCGGTTGGAGTCGTAGTGTGACTTGACTCTGTTTCCTGAGGCAGATATAGGTCAGGTGGGGCCAGTCCTAAAAAAGCCCCTGCTCCTAGCCGGTTTGCCTCAGTGGATAGAGCATCGGCCTGCGGATTGAAGGGTCCTATGTTTGATTCTAGTCAAGGGCACATACCTCAGTTGCAGACTCAATCCCCCACCCTGATTGGGGCACCTGAGAGAGGCAATCAATTGATGTATCTCTCCCACATCAATATTTCTCCTGTCTCTTCCTCTCCTATCTACTCTCTCCAAAAATCAAAGGAAAAATACCCTCAAGTGAGGATTAGCAAAAGCCCCTGCTTCCCGGAGGGGGTTTTAGGAACCAATAATTTAAGGGGGGATCAACCCCCACCTCTGAGGTAACTTTGGGGAGAAGAAACAAAGAAGACCAGGAGGACTCGAAAGGTAGGGAAAAATAATAACAGCAATAGTAATAGTAATAATAATAGTAGTAGT